CTGGAGGCCCACCTGTCTGTCACCCTGGAGGCCCACCTGTCTGTCACTCTGGAGGACCACCTGTCTGTCACTCTGGAGGCCCACCTGTCTGTCAATCTGGAGGCCCAACTGTCTGTCATTCTGGAGGTTCACCTGTCTGTCACTCTGGAGGCCCACCTGTCTGTCACTCTGGAGGTCCACCTGTCTGTCACTCTGGAGGTCCACCTGTCTGTCACTCTGGAGGCCCACCTGTCTGTCGCTCTGGAGGCTGTCCTGTCTGTCACCCTGGAGGTCCACCTGTCTGTCAGCTTCTCCCAGCACTCAGGCTGTCTGGAACAGCCTGGTTTCTTGCTGATATTCTTGGGGGACTTTCATCTTCTTCAGGGTCAGAGATGACAGCTGTGCAACCTATGTGTGGCACAGTGTCTGATGTATGGAATTGCACAGACGGGATCAAGGAATGACCTAGTGTGTTTGTGAACTCCACATCACACACACAGACACACACACACACACACAAAACACCCCACAATACACTCACACATCACACAGCACTCAGTCACACACATCATACACACATCACATACATACTTGCACACAGGCACATACTCACACACAAATCACACACTCACATACACACATGTACACACACACAACACACACTCACATACACATATGCAGACACACACACACACATCACACACATACACACATGCAGACACTCACACACATACCACACACTCATGCACATACCACACACATATGTACACACTCATACACATCACATGCACACACACACATATCACACACTCACATACACACATGCACAGACTCACACACATACACACATGCAGACACTCACACACACATCACACACTCATGCACACACCACACACACATGTATACACACTCACACACATCACATGCACACACTCACACATATGCACACACGTTATACACACTCTGTCTATCACACATTTACACGCATCACACACATGCTTATACACACACTCATACACACATCACATAAACACATGCACACAATAAGTAAATAGTTCTCTCTCCTTTTTTCTTAGCTACAGAAAATAACGAATTGTCTGAACCCCCAGAACAAATGATGCACACCTGAAATCCTAGCATTTGGAAGGTGAGGCAGGAGGCCTCGGAACTCACACCCAGCCTTAGCTACACAGCACGTGATGATCTAGCCTTGGTAGTGGGAGGTCCTGACTCAAAAAAAGGTTTTTGTTTTTTTCCTTGTAAGGTGACAACCATTAAAGTGTGCATGTGTGAGCACACATGTGTTTAAGTTTTCAGGTAATATGCCATTGTTTTAGAGTTGCTGGCAAGATTTAATGCCCACGTGTCACTTACCAGGGTACAGCAGGGCTTTCTTCCAATCTGCAACAGAACATACCAGGGACAGTTGAGAACTGACCTGTGCCCTCACTTCCCCCTTTCCCTCTCAGGTCTCCACACCAGTCATCATTAAACATTTTAGTCCCCTCATCCCCACCCCATGAGGGTACTGAGGGGGAGTTGGCATCAGGGCATGGGGGTGCAGGACACCTGGTCTTTTACCTTCTCTGTACAGAGCCTTCCGTTGATCTGAAAGAAATAACACCCATGAGTGGCCTAGTGGCAGGAAAGATGCAGGGAGAAGAAGCTGCACTCACCCAGCTCGGCCTGGAGGTCATCTGAAAGAAAGGGAAGGTGCACCATCCATCACACTGGGTCTCAGCCACCCTGGGCCTGGAGAGTAACTAAATGAATTGGGGTTGGCTTTCCTGTAGGGGATAAGCATGTGCATATGGCCATGGGAAACTGATAAGGTGCCCTGGGGTGAGGGCTTCCTCTCAAGCAGGCTCTTGACAGATTCATAGGGTAAGAAACAGCAGCAGCACCCTCTGGAAGAAGGGTGGGGTGTGGGCACATGGGACTGAAGAGCAGGGTGTGAAGGCCTGGGCTGTGGTTTGAGGCTGCACTTCACTGGCCTGAGGTCCACTCCCCATGGCCCTCTGGTCCTCTGCAATGACTATGGCTCTGTGGAGCACTCCCAGGCCCCCTCCCTCTGTGCCTTTCAAGCTCCTTTGAGTCCCCCAGCCTTTCTACAGCCCTCTGACTCATTCTGTGGTTCCCCCCTGTCTATACCTCTTTTCTTCAGTGCGATTTTCATCTCCTCCTTCTTCTGAGACATTTCCTGCTGTTCTTCTGACTTTTTCTCCACCTCTCAGCTTTTAGCTTGGTGCTCTTTCCAGCCAGCAAGGCTGGTCCCACCAAACAGAACCAGTAGTATGGGGAGCAGGCAAGCCAGAGCTACTTTCCATGGGAAAGTCCTGGGGAAGAAGGGCTCTGACAGGGTGCAGACAGACAGTCAGAAACCTGACAGAGGCAGCTCCTCTCAGCCCCCACCCCTCTCATTCCCCTGCCTGGGAGTTTGGTCCTCACTGACCTGGTAGAAAGATGGCCTTCACTTCCTCCTGGTCATGGAGGGGATTTTGGATGGAGCAGGTCACATTGCCCACAGCTCTATCCGTGACCAAAAGAGACGTTTCCACGTGGAAGAGCCCGGCTCCGTCTTGGGTCTGTGACTCAGAAGAGGACAGAAGAGTGTCCCCAACATTGTTTCTCCATTGCACCCTGGGTTTTAGGAACCAGCCACTTGAGGAAAAACTTGGATCCCATTGTTCTCAGGCCCTGTCATGCGAACAAGAGGGGCAGAGCCTAACCCTGAGGAGAGAAGACATCTGCTTGAGGCCTGTGATTCCTGGAGGCCACAGTGCATGAGGGAAGGTGAACTTACTATACTGAAGGGCAGCCTGGAACTCAGAGGTCAGCTGAGGCTGCCCCAGACTCAGTTTGATCTTAGCTCACTGTTGTTGCATGCGCTTGGACTCGGAGAGGTGAGGCATTGTTCTTGGGACAGTTAAAACTTGAAAATGGGTCTGATTGTATTTTCTGTCTGGATTTACTGAACGTTAATGTCAGAGTTACTACTGAATATACTGTCTGGGATCTTGTAGGATATGGAAAAAGGTTCAGAGGGTTTGTCAAATGCATCAGAGTTCTTGTTGTGCAGCCATGAGGACCCGAATTCAGTTCCTCAAATCCATATGAAAACCTGGGTGTGGTGGCACCAGCTCTGGACCAGAGACAGGTGGGGTCCTGGGATCACTGATACCCAGCCTAGCTGAGTTGGCCAATGAGTGCCCTGTCACACACAGTGACCTGAGTGTGACCCCTGCCTTCATATGTACACAATTATACACACACACACACCACACACACAGGCACACACTCAGACACACACAGAGACACACACACACACACACTCAGACACACACAGGCACACACACACACACACACACACACACACTGATGTCCCACAGTCTGACTCTCACTGCACACTGCAGTGATGTCCCACAGTCTGACTCTCACTGCACACTGCAGTGATGTCCCACAATCTTACGCTCACTGCACACTGCAGTGATGTCCCACAGTCTGACTCTCACTGCAAACTACAGTGGTGTCACACAGTGTGACTCTCACTGCACCCTGCAGTCATGTCTCACAGTCTGACTCTCACTGGAAACTGAAGTGATGTCCTGCAGTCTGACTCTCACTGCACACTGCAGTGATGACCCACAGATACATAAACACATCCAATATCACAGGCAGCTCAAGGATGGTCATAAGAAGGTTTGTGGACAGTTTGCTGTCTATCTTTTATCACAACCAGCACCCTGGGCAGAGCTCACATACCTTTGACACGGAGCTCAATCACAGCCTCTTGGGAGGTGAAGCCATGTGTAACTTGACAGTGATACAGACCATCGTCAGAAGCCTGGACTTGCTGTATCTGTAGAGTCACATCTCCCGTGGCGATGGCATCTCTTACCAGCCGGGTTCTTCCTCGGTACTCTGGCATCTGCACATCTCCTTGCTCCTGTCCATCGTGGAACACCAGCACAGCAGGGGTGAGGCGGGCACGGTACCAGCGGATGTGCATGGGAGATGTCCCACTCTGTGCAGGAGACAGCTGGCAGGGCAGAGTGGCCTCAGCCCCAAGCAGGACTGTGATGAGCTCAGTTTGTCCCCTCACAGAAAATGATGACACTTCTGGGACCAGAGACAGATATGGAATCAAGTTAGAGACATGAGACTTCAAACACACAATCCTGACTTTTCAAATTTAGGGAACCAGACACATTTCTCTTTGTATTACTTTTTAAAAATGTTAAACTTTGAGCTGGGTGGTGGTGGCACATACCTTTAATCCCAGCACTTAGGATGAAGAGGAAGGTGGATCTCTGTGAGTCTGAGGCCAGCCTGGTCTGCAGAGTGTGTTCCAAGACAGAGCTACACAGAGAAACCCTCACTCATAATATTAAATTTTAATAGATAAAATTTTAATAGTTATATAAATGTGTATAAATCTCTCTCTCTCTGTGTGTGTGTGTGTGTGTGTGTGTGTTCTTGGGACTTTGACAACATCAGCACTTATACAGAATGTCAGCTATTGCAGTATTTTGAATCTGCTGAAATACATCACCTTATTTCATTGTCAGGTTAGGAAATGGACATTCTTCAGGTATGCCCACATAGCCAAGATCACAAAAACAGCAGAGGAGAGAGAGAGAGCGAGAGAGAGAGAGAG